GCAGAGGGGGAGAAAGGGGGCTGAAATTAGGGACATCTGTAATACTGTCAACAATTAAAAAAAGAAAACTAAAGAGACATGACAAATAAATGCAATGTGTGATCCTACATTGAATCCTGGACTAGAAACTTTTCTTTTGCTATAAGACACCTTTAGGACAATTTACAAAACTTGAGTAAGATCTATAGATTAAATCATTTATTGTATCAATGTCAATTTTCTGATTTTGATGACAGAATGTGGTTATATAAACATTTTTTAAAAGCAGCTTTGAGCTGTACAATGATAAAAATGACCCAAAAGAGAGAAAATCTAATGACGGAAAAGTGGGGGAGAACTGCTGAAGCAGTGTACTTGTGTAAGTGGAGAGAGAATATATCTGATGTATAAGCAGAGGGTTGGCTTAAGATAGGAACATGGACCAGTTCATCCCTAGTAATGGGAGGGAAGGCAGGCTATATGGGCATGGATACAATAAAGCTAGCAGATACAGTGGTGGGAGCCTATGGGAATTTCCATCTTACTGTTTCTACTTTCTCGGTGAAATGGGAATCAAGGTCATCAGCTAAAAGTAGAGAGAGAAGTAATCACAGGTTGTCTAGGAAGGTAGAAATGTAACAGGATTGCTAGGCAACACTAAGAGTCCATTTGGAATGATGATGGCCATGAACTTAAAGTGAGACCAATCAGCAAAGATACATGTTTTTCTCCAGCTATACTGAGCAGCGCAGGTGCAGGCAAGAATAAACAGAGTTGGATTTAACAAAGACAGGGTATTGCCAGGCAAGTTCGATGAAGGGAGAGGGACAGGAAGCGATTATAATAAAATTTAAACTGGATAAGAAGGGAAGGGGGAACATGACAGACAATAAATTAGTTCATTTCTTTCAAATAGTGATAAATGCTAGGAAAGAAATAAAACAGGAAATGTGAAAGAGAATGAATGGAACAGGAAATACTGCTTTATTTTAAGAAGGGGTGGTCTGAAATGGTAACACATAAGTTGAAACCAAAATGAGTCTAGTTTCCCACATCACCCTTAGCTTCTTTACTCAAAATTCTACTAGACTTTAGACACTTAGAGAAAATAAGCAAGACATTAAGTTCAAGTAGTTCACTTTGAGGGAGGAGGGGAAGACTTGAAAGAGATGAAGAAATCACACATTTATAGGCAGAATAGATATTTCAGAACTTAGGAACCACATGAATCAGAGGATTTAGAAAAGAAAATCTATAATCAGCTCCTGCTTCTGAAACTGGGCTGAGACAGCAAAGGCATGGTTCTGTAACCCTAAACAATGAGGAGTAACGTTAATACAATAAATGAGGTCATCCCTCACAAATGAGGTCATTGAACCACCTAGTAGGTTGTGACAACCCTCTTCTTGGAAGAAAGCATAGAGCTGGGAAGGTCCCAATAACAAAGGCTGGACAAGAAAGACCTCATGTACATTGGTCTTGAAGCATGGGTAGAATTTGGGGGAGGGTTGGGGGAAAGGATGGAGGGTAAGAGGTTTTAAAGGAGCACCCACCACAGGCTAGACATGTTATATTTTCTTAGAATCAGTTGCTTCACCTGGGCAAGATGGGGGTTCAAGCTAGGATAGAGGCAATGACAAAAATAAGGAAAGGAGCGGGCAGATCTAAAAACTACTCAGAGGATAAAATCAACAGGACCTGATAAGAGTGCATATGGAGGTGTGTGAGCAAGAAGGAAAATGTTTAGGATAGATGACACAGGTTTATAGCTTGCAGAACTCAATGGATATTAGATTCTACTCAGTATAATCCAAAGAACCCTTCTAAAAAGCTCTACATGATCTGTCCACTACCTACCCACCTCACCAGCCTCAGAGCGCCCACTCTCTTCCCCTCCACCTGAGCCCCAGGCACAATGCCTTTCTTTTCAGTTGCTTCCTACCACAGGGCCTCCCTACATGAGCTTTCCACTGACTGAACCACTCTTCCAATTTACTTTCCCTACCCAACCCCTACTCATCCTT